GGGGAACACAGAAAGGGAGATGTGCTGAGGCTCCAGTTCTTCCGGGGGCTCAGTTCCAGGAGCCTCGTGTGCAGGGAGGTAATCTATATTGGAGGGTAAGTAGCCCTCCTGGGTGGGAAGGTAGTCCCCTGGGAGGACCCGCGAGGGGCTTGCTGGGTTTCCTGGCTTTGAGTTGGGGCTCCTGCCCCCCAGCACCTTGTACAGATCCACCAGCTGCCCTGTCTCCGCCGTGAGAGCTCTTGGAGGTGGTAATCTCGAGGCACTGTACCCTGTTTCCTCAGAGGTATAGTGACCTTGGTCTCCTTTTCCCTTCTCTGGCCAGTTGGCATGAAGGAGCTGTCTGAAGACTGGGGTCACTTGATGCAAGACTTCGCTGATGACCAGGGGCTCGGGTTCTTTCGGAGCGGGCCCGTCTGTCAGGAGCCTGTCCACGGGCAGCTGCACCTCCTGAGATGGGAGGAAGAAACTCAGGGCTATGCTAAGTGAGTAGCCTGGACAACTGACTTCTCCAGGTTCCAAAAGGCCTCGGCCAGCAATACCTAGTCAGCTCAAGGTGGACACCGGGCCCTTTGCGAGGTAAGAGAGCAGTTCACGTTGTCAGGGAGGAAGACAGCAGGAGTCCTGGGGTCCTCTCCACCCCCAGCCAATGAGTGATTCACCGCCCTGCTCCACCTTCAACCAGACTGTTTCTGGTGAGTCAAACTGTACTCGCTGCTTTTCCTCTGGGATAGAGGCACACTGCGTGCAAAGGAAAGGCTGAGCTTGCCTCTGTCTGGGGGCGGAGGCAGGGAAGACTATAAAAGGGTCAGACCAGAACTGAATCTTGAGAAGCAGAGTATTTTTTCAGATAGGTTGTGAGCAAGAGGACTGGTCTATTCTGGAACCTGCTAGTTGTTATGACAGGCAAACAGGCTTCAGAATTAGGAGGAGGTCCCATGGAGGGCTTTTAAGGGATGCTAAGGAGTTTGGGTTTTGATACAACTTCTGAAAGGTTTTAGGTAATATCTTTATCAGTTCTACTCTAATGAATGACCCTTCTAGAATAACTTTTGGAAGAAATTTTCATTCTTTTTCCCCCTGTAACTAACTTTCTCTTGCTTACCTTCTCAACAGCACATTGGTTACCAACTCTTCAATGTCGTACCTCTCCTTTCCAAACTTGCTGCTGATCCCTGATTCCAAGTCCCAGCACTTTATTAGCATTTATTGTAAGGGGCTTCATTGGGCTCTCCTTGCATCCTGGAAACCACCTTCACGCTGACTGATCAAGCAAAGCTCCGGAGCCTTTCAGGGCTTGGACTTCCATATGCAGTAAAGCTCCCAGCCCTGACCTTATCCATCAGATTCCTTCCTCCACTTCCCCATGTTTTTGTTCAGAAATTATTTCAGGCACACCATCCTAGTCTTATTAAACACAGTTTTTTTTTCTCTCTCTCTATGCCACACTTTTGCTTCCACTGCCAGCCTCTAACGGCTTCTGTTTATGGTACCATCCCCTGCTTGACACCTTCCTCTTTCTGTTTTTCTTTTTTCAAATGTTTTTATTGATTTCAGAGAGGAAGGGAGAGGGAGAGAGGGATGGAAACATCAATGATGAGAGAGAATCCTTGATCAGCTGCCTCCTGCACACCCCCGACCAGGGATCGAGACTGCAACCAGGAAACGAACCGTGACCGGCTGGTTCATAGGTTGATGCTCAACCACTGAACCACACCAGCCAGGTACCTTCCCCTTTCTTGAAGCCCCTAATGACTGCTGCCTCCACTGAATTACAGTAGGGAAGCAACCTCCTGTTAGGTTATTGGCACAGGGTGCTTTATAATGTCACTTTTTAGAAACATGTCTAAGCATGTCAAAGCCATCTGTAAACAGGGACCATGTCTTAAGGGAGGCTTAAGATGATAAAAGATAGCCTTGGGACAGGGCAAACCCTCAGGACTAGTCCCAAGTCTTG